CTCATAAAAGCGCATGCAGGGTCACTGTGACCACACTGGACCTTGAACAGGGTAAAAAAAAAAACCTTGTGGGGTCCAGATTTACCATGTCTCTTACAGTAAAACTACAGGAAGTTACACAGACCATCACCATCTAAATCTGAAAACTTAAAATTCTCTCACCTGTTAGTATGTGGTATTTAACATTTAGGTCATTTTTGCTGCATCTTACAGGACACCTTTCAGAGCTTAGTGAACATTCCCAACACTCGACGTAGATCGTGGGTCAACATGAGGCAAGGAGTTGGTATCGTGTAACCAGATTACACGGCATTTGAACCCAGTGACATCTCGTGGATTGTTTACAACGCAGTGTATCACTAAACACCACGTCTCACAGATCCCATGCTGTCTGGACGTTACGAACCCATTTGTATCGCAGTTCTCCGTTGCCACAGGTGACAGCTGTGGGTGTCAATGTCTGCATATAGAAACACACAAGTGCTGATCGTGACATCACAGCGCAGGGGAGAGGCATCGATATTTGTCTAAGCGCTGCTTGTGTCACTTTGAGGTCCTGCTGCAGCTAACCGGCTAAACGCGACTCAAACGCAACCTCCGGGTTAGCGCCAGGCTAGCAGGGCGAATTCCAGCAGATTAGAACCGACTGAGGAGGAAGAAAAGCTGCAGGACTGTTCAGTACATGACTGATGTGAGGCGGTTCCACATCCTGCAGACATCTGACCGTCACGAATCCCTGATCTGGTGACTGATCCACTGCTGTAATCGTTACAACACGGTCACATGACCCCGCATCCCATTTATAATGATCCTAAAGGGAGAGTCTTTAAGCCCAAAAAGCAATCGTTTCCCTCTCTGTTGAACGTAGCAGCTTGGTGGTTGGATGTGTTGCCTGCCGACATAGTACGGATGTTTTTATTGTTTTTGTTGAGCTGAAACAAAGAAGGTGTGCAGCTGTGCTCGGTCACGTCTGGAAATAGTGCTCCAGTGTCGTCGTGGTTTATAACGCTGAACTCAAGAGCGAGCATGTGGAAGTGAAGATATACACAATTGTTTCAACAGTTCCGTTTTAGAAAATATCAGGTTTCCTCACCAAAAACGCAGACAGTGGAACCGTCCATTTGATGTAAGTGGCACAGGAGGCGGAATTTGAAAACTTAAACCTCAGAAAATGTTTTTCTGTTTTTTTCGTCTCAGGATGACATGCTTAAAAAGCGCCATATTTGACAGGAAGAACTCATCTGCACTCTCACCTGTTGCTCAGCGAAGTAGTCTTTCACCAGACAGCCCATAATCTGCTGGGGAGACCGGGCTGTGCACAGGTGAGGGGTGACCACGCTGCCCAGAACCCGTTCTGCATAGCGAATCCAACCTGCACACATAAAAAATGACTAAACAGAAACAAAAAAAGAGAAAAAAATAGCAATATTTCTCAGTTCCAAAAACGTGTTTCTTGAAATCCCAACCTCAACTGGAAATCACCAACAGCTTTTAAGGAAGCAAAATAGCCCCAAGAGTATCATCATTACAGATAAATGTGTTTGTTGAAAAGTGAGGTTCTTCTAAGCTAAATTTAATTCCATAAAGCTGCTTGGTGTTATCGCTGAGGGGAGTGGTGAAAGCTGCCTATCTTGCTCCTCCAGCACTTGGTTGCCGTCTGAACTTCTAAAACACAATCTGTTCCTCTTTAGCTCACAACATCTGAAGACTGGGACACTTCAGCAGGAAACGGGGAAGATTTCTGTTTCCATTTATGCCAGAAAAATGACAGGATGGCAGATTTTTGACTAATCTTTTCAGGCAAATCCACTCAGCAACATGTTCCGGTCTTCCCAGTTTAAATTTGTCAGCCTTTCAGATTTTCTTTATTGTCAACAGATTTTACAGTGCAGAGTGTTTGTTTCAGCCGTTATGTGAAAACAGACTGAGCAAATTTATCTTTTATAATGTTTGAAGAATTTGTTTATAGAAAACAAAAACACAAAAAAACCCCACAACTCTCTTAGATTTTAAGCTTTAAAGAAACAAGACAGGTGCAGTTTAGGATGCATCCAGATCATTTCAATATTTTGTTTAAGCAAAACCACTTTTAAAAACAAAACAAAAGCCTTTAAATGAAACTTAATTTCTCTGTCAAAAACTCAAGTGAAGCTGAAAGTCTGCTGTTGCTTAAAGCTTTTATTGCAGGAAGGGTTACATATTTATTTTTGATTAAAAAATTTAGGACGAAAAAGGTTTTCTATTTCCAGAAGGTTTGGGTGTTTTTCCCTATATTTTAGAATGCAGCCGATTTAAGGCTAATAAAGTAAAACAAGGTGTAGAAAATTTAACATGGTTAAGTTTTGCTTCCTGTCTGAAGCGGCAACACTGATGCAGGCAGTGTCTGTGGAAGAAGCGAGACTCTGTGAGTTAGCATCTGCAATTTACATTCAACGCAACAAACAGGAGAGATTCAAGGTTCCAGGGAATAAAAGTTCATGGAAGCATAAATACCCCTTTAACGTCATAGTTAAAAATAAAACAAAATACAATTAAAGAAAAAGGATGACAAGGCCAATTTAGTTTGTGTAATAAAAAGAAGAGCAGAGGAGAATCAGCAGGTAGGCAGACGGCTTACCCGGGCAGGAGGAGGTGAACATGGGTAAGGCCTGAGAGTCGTGGTGCCTCCTGCGGTAGCGCTGAATAAACTCCTTCTGGGTCTCCAAGATGCTGAACCCGGCTGCTACAGTGGTATCAAACACAAACCTTACCCCTGTAGAAGAACACAAATAGTAAAAAGCCATGATGAGGAAATCAATCGTGTGATCAAATTTCTACTAAACTGAGTTTAAAAAGCAAAGAACGAGTGGTTTGACTTGTTTCCGGTACGGGACGTATTTTAAAGTGCGTTTTAGAAAAAAAAAAAAAAAGAAATCAGAACATGAGTGTTTTTGCCTAAAGACGGAGTTTATACACTTTATGCCACAGTAAAATTCAAGCACTTTCTACATTAGTTTTAAAACTTTTCCAGCACCGGACGGTAATAAAAAATATCCAGCTTCAATTTACTACAGATAATCATTTATTACTGTTAATAATGCACTGTGACAGTATCCTGCAGCAGGAACAATATATAAAAATTGAAATTTTTGAAAAGTTGTTCAAGAATGTAACACAAAATGTCCCAATTTCAAAAACATATAAGATAGAAGCAAACCTTTGTTACAATTACACAGACCAGTAAGTCATTGGGTCATTGGGAATAATAAACATTATTTACAAGCTACTAGCATTTAGCTGATGAAAATTATTTTGATAATTCTAATTGACCCAAAACAAGAATAGTAAAGTCAGATTTATCTTCAGAGACAAAAAAACTGTCTTGTTAGTGGTTTTGTGAAAATAACTACTTCCAACTGTAAATAGCATTTTCCAAACATAAGCTTTTAATCACTGCATAAGAAAACTGTGCACTTTGAATATCATAGACTTTATATATAAACAAAGCAATTAAAAAACAAAAAAAACACAAAAAAAGACAACCCCACAGGATGTCTCAGATCAGCTCACCGATACTCTTCAGGAAACCGCAGAGCTTGCGGGCCGCTTCGTTAATGTCCAAGCCAAACTGGACGGCAAAGAAAGGCAGCGACTGCGGGCACACCGACGCCGCCACCGCCTTGTGCTTCGACGCATCACATTTCTGCCAAAACACAACACAAAGCCCAGCTGTCTCGGCTTTCCTGTTCGACGCTTTTGTGCGGCGCGCGCCTGTGTGAGACGCACCTTGTTGAGGGCCAGGACTCGCTCCACCTCCTCCAGATTCTGCTGGGAAATCTTCAGCGTCTCTTCGTCGGAGACGCAGCCGTCACAGGAGAGACAGGCACTCAGCAGCACCCGGGGGCCTTCGATCAACTAGAGGAGCGAAAGCGACTCAAACCCGTTTATTTCATTTCACCTCTAAAGCTTCTGCAGTGCCTGCTAAAAGTGTTCCCACCCCATAGACTTCAGTTTTGTCAAAGCAGCAAATATCAATATGGTTAATAGAGAATTTATACAATAGAGACATTCAAAATTAGGCAGAATCCTAAAGTGTAAAGAAGACGACGTGTTGTTTTTAAAATCTTTCACAAATGAATTTTCTTAAAATGGGTCGAAGAACTAAAACGCCCATCACTCTGAACCATTAGGACTGTGACGATTACAAATTTTGCTGGACGATCCCAGATAGTATTGTCGCTTTGACACAATTTTAAACTGATATGCCGATAATGGCGAAATAACGCAGAAACGCCCTCTCAAAGGATGAGGAACTTTCATTTGGCACAGAGCACTTCACACTGGACCTGGAAGGCATTTTAAATGTCCAAAATAAAACAGCGAAGAACAGGAAATATAAAGGAAACAAAAACCACACACAACTGAAACCATAAGTAAAGTGGATTATGATGTCGCAGTAAACAAAATTGCCCTTAAAAAACCCCAATCACCTCAATGAGCTCTTTTTGACTCACCATGCAATTAACTGGTTATGACAGGCTTACACGCCATTCACACAATTCCCTTCCACTTGTTTTACTGAAAACCTGAGGAACCAATGAAGAGTTATATAAGCAGTCCCTACCTGTCCATTGACTTCCTCGCTCTCTGGGCCAGAGTTGGCTCCATCCTCACCTTGCTTCTTGTTGCACTGCATTCGCAAAGGATTAAGAACAAAAAAATCAATAAAATAAAAACAACTTCCAAGCCGGTTACATGAAATAACGTCATGTTAGCCAGGACCCCACCTGTTTGGTACAGTTTTCACACTTCTCCTTGCGCTGCGCTATCTTGACCCCTGACATTGTGCCCTCGTCATTGACCTCGGAGCTGGGAGTCACTGGGAGACACCGACCAGAGGTGGGAGCAGAAGCGGGTTAGGGCTGCTGTGCGTTTTTCTGCCGGGAGCCCCACCCTGCCGTCAGCCTCCCCTCTCCTGTCCTATCGCAAACAGCCCAGCTTATCGGAACCAGGACGGCCCCTCTCGTGCTGTGAGCTTCAATCGCCGTCACGTTTAAAAGGCTCGCGGTAATTGTATACACAACCGCAGCGGAGGCGTTACGTGACAGCGTCAATGACGTCAAGTGAGGTAAGCCTCCTGAAGTAATGACGCTCTGAAGTGGCTTTAACGACAAGAATGCGTCAAGTTTGTTGACTGAACGCGTTTCTTGTGAGCTGAAGGGGGTTTAAAACGATTTAGGCCGCACAGAAAAGGCCTTAAAGTGTTCAAATGACTGCTAGTAGGTCGGCCAGGCTGAATGTTGAGGTAACAACTCACCGGACGGTGCTGCTTCTTTGCGCTTCGGCACAAAGACGTGGAAACCAGCAGAGGACAAGCAGGGGAAGAGAAGAAGGACTGCAGTGCCGACACTGTTTAGTTGTTAAACTCCGCCGGAACTCAGCGCTCTGTCGCCAAAAAACCCCGTATCGGTTCGGCGTCACTGCCACGGCTGGCCCGCACCTTAATGGCTCTTATATCTCATATTTACCCCGCCGTTCGTGCTCATGTACATCCACCTCCATTGTGCGCCCGGACCGTCCTTGGAGCATGCGCACGTCGAGAGGTGTCACGCGCCGGAAGCTGTGACACGAACGTTTCAAAATAGTCGGTGGTTTCGCGAGGCAGAAAATTCAAAACAATATCGAGACCATTAAAAGAGAATTAGCGGCCGAATGTTATCTTAGTTTGTTGCTCGAAAAACGTGACGGTACATGAGAAACATGAAGACAAATCTACCAACACAATTTCTCAATTTTTAAGGTACAAAAAATGGAGAAATTGTGTTGATAGATTTGTCTTCATGTTTCTCATGTACCGTGGCTGAGCTGTTCTCCATAAATGTATCACTTGTGATTTTTGAATCAATGTTTGTGTAAAATGAGGAGTTTTTGTAGGCCCCAGAGGGCCCATTCATACAGACAAGCGTCAGTGTGTCTGACATTATTTCAGAACATTGCAATGTTGCATGTTCTGCCATTGTCTTTACCTGGCAGAATATAGATTTTATTGCGGTGTGTGTGTGTGTGTGTGTGTGTGCATATTTTTTAGAAAAGATAGTGACAAAACAGCACATTTTGTAGTGTGCTCTAGTTAGGCCATGTTGTCAGTTTTTGTTTTTTCCAAAGCAAATCACAGACTGGCTTGCAACTATAGTTATTACCAACCAACTTTTATAAATATTACTGAAAAGCAATCCATCCCATCTATTTATAGAGTACAAATTTCCAAATTCAGAGCTGAGAAAGTCGCACTCCTTGTTATTTTTTTTTCTTGTTTTGTTTGTTTATAATTTGATTGGCTAAATCAAATTATATAACGTCTTCACAAATTATTTCTTGAAAATGTCATCTTTTCGGATTTTATTTTGAAAGGCGGCCCAGGTGAGCGCGTCCAATCAGAGTTTCCGAAACCAGGAAGGAAGAGTCACCCATTGGAGACGGTTGGTTGCGACAACATGAAGTCAACTTCCTCGTAGTGCAGTAACGCGGCGCCGTTTCTTTTTAAATCTACAAGGACCAAAGTTCACGGAAGAGAAAAACCAAAATTAAGGTAAAGAATGAGAAAAATCTAAAATGGCTGCATTTGTTTTCTCTTTTGCTGGTGGGAGGCAATGAGCTGCACCTCGCTTTTACAGGATTCTTCAGAATGAAAACATTTCTTTTGTGTTTCAGCTTCAGTTTGTGGCTCAGCAGGAAAGAAACACAGATGAGGGCGGATATGTTTGTGTTGTTGTCACTTCTTGACAATATTGCTGCTCAGTGTTTTGAAATAATCACAGAGCAGTTTGTGCCTCATATGCAGATGATATGTCATCACCCCTCCCAAAGAAAATGCATGGATAATATGTAGTCATAAATATATTTGAACGACACCAAGAAAATCTAGTCGCTAAAATGAGTGTAATTGGCAAATAAGTACTGTCCTATTAATTGTTCTGCTTCCTTTCACCTTGGAGACATTTTAATTTAGGGTGTATTGCAGATTTGTGGTGAAACAGGAAGTCACTTCAGCTTGGAGGAGAACAGCTCAGCCACCAGCTTCTTCATTATAAAGCTCTCTCCCTACACTTAGTATGCTGCATAATTAGCAGACAATCTACATCAGGTTCTTATTGCTATTCTTTATTTATGTTGAAGACTTTTGGATTCATGTTGGGAAAACGGTTTAAAAAGCAGTCAATGCCGGCGAGGTGGATATTCAGGACAAGTCATGAAAGGTTGACGATGGTTTATGAGGCGAACCTCAAACATGCTCGAGATTGAGAGGAGGCGATCAGAATGAATGAAATGGCTTCCTGTTGAAGGAAACCAGAGCAAACAACATATGATTTGGACAGTTTCTAGGCATTCAGCAGCATTTTAGCACTGCAACTGCAGTAGAACTTTTGAGATATTTTAAATGTACCCGCCAGATGGAAGTCGAGCCTCTGTAGATCTTCAGTCTAAAGATAAATGCTCGCACGTAACAGCAGCCACACGTTTTTGTTGCATTTCGTCCTTTTCAACGCTGAAAGGCGTCCAGAGGTGGAGATGCTGCACTGCAAAGAGCTGATGCAGCAGCAGCGGACTGTCCGCTGACAGTCTTGTGCAACCCTTTCATGAACAAATTGAAGTCTTTCAAGTCTGCTGTTACACTTTGTAAAGATGTAAAAAAACATATTCCTCATCAAAGTTACCTTAAGGAGTCTTGGACTGGTTTAGTATAGCAATGTAATTTATTCACACATACAACACCACGTCACAAAAACACTTTATTTTTATTTGGCAATCGTTTTAAACTAGAAAATCTCATAATCTCTAACATTCCTGCCTCTGTTCAGATGGGATACATGACAGTAGAGACAAACAGTCCCACTCTGCTCCACCTCAAGAGATCTCCTGGTGTCCGCTCATGGTCTCTTGTCGTCGGTAAGTTTGTTTTTTTTCTTGACAAAAACTTAAGGTCTCCCTTTAAGTTTCTCTTCAGAATCCCAAACCTTTCGCTTTGCAGGTATAGCCTCGGCAGGGCTGGCGGCCGCGCACTACAGCTCGGGTATGGAAACTCAACTTATTTGTCCCGCGTTTGCCCAGAAGCAACGACTGCTCACCGCTGCTCTCTGCTTTGTGTGTCGCAGACAGCGTCCCGTGGAAGCTCTTCTACGTCGCAGGCTGCCTGTTTGTGGCCCTTCAGAACATGGAGGACTGGGAGGAGGCCGTGTTCGACAAGACCAGGAAGCTGGTAGAGCTCAAGACCATCAGCCTGTATGCTCTGGTGCTGACAATGTGGAGGACAGGCCAGGAGAGAAGTCAGTGAAACCACTAAGTGTTCGGTGGTTGGGTGGAACGGAGGACTCCATTAAGCGTGAGGACGTCACACAACTGCACTGGACCTCAACACGTTCCCTCTCTTTCAGTCGTGCTGGACCTGACGCAGCTCTGTGACATTTGTGTCGAGGAGGAGAGGGTCCGATACCTGGGGAAGGGTTATCATGTGATGCTGAGGTTGGCAGCTGGCATCTCCTACCCCCTCACCCAGAGTGCCACCATGGGAGGACGTAGGTAGGCCATCAGCAAGAATTAAAAGGAGATCCAACATATGTCTCTGTAAATAATCGAGATGCAAAGAATTAATCGACTTACCATTAACTGTAGTTTGGCCGTCACCCAAAAGACGCCGTCGCTGTGCGTTAGTTGACGTCGGACAAAAGATGGCGAGAAACTGTCCGATAAGTCCGGTGCGGGAGGCAAAATTCACTTTTTGCGGTTCCGTTTTGAAATATAAACACTTGACAAGCTCTATGGGGCTCATTCAGTCGAGCTGAATGAGGTGTTACAATAACCTTTATGTTATAAAGTGTAAAACAACCATTGAAATTGGTTATGAAAGTTGTGACGGAGTTCCAGGAACCAAAGGTAACCTGGTTCTGTGTGTTGCCTTGCAGTGATGTGGAGGCGGTGGCCTCATTGTTGAAGCGCTTCCTGGGACTGGATCAGACGCAGTGGAAGCAGCAGGATTACGAAGACTACGGGGAGGACGACAGCGCGGACTCGGATAATGAGGCAGACTAACGCTAGACTATATGGAGCATGCGTTCCCAGAGCATCTCGGGGCGAATTAAGTTAAGCCATCATGACAATGCAAAGACATTGCAGAGAAAGAGGCTCACATTGCAGAGAATTCCCTTGTTTTGTTTATGCCTTTTACCCTAAATTATACTTCACACACTGTGGTTTCCGCAAAGATTATGCGTTCTGAACTAATTACTGTTTAAGAGCACAAGTTAGATTATGGATCTAGTGTTGCTCCCTGCTGAGATAATTGTTTGGGAGACAATAGAAAGTACCTTTTCCCATGGTTTTCTGGACTCACCCAGCTCAGATCCACCTTCTCAGATGTTCTCCTACACTGTGTCCAAGGAATGCATGTGCAAGTCATAACCGAGCATGAGGAACTGGTGATACAATTAAGTATGTTGTGACTTCATATTGACGTTTAAAACGTTTTTGTGCGAACCAAAGACTAAATCTCAGGTAACCTCAAGATTTTAGTCAAATGTTGTGGGTTTTTTGTTTAGTTTATTAATAATTGAAAAAGAACAAACAAGAAATGAGTATTCTAAAAGAGTTGAATGATTTTTATTTTGTTGCATTCATTTGCTTTTTAATTTCTTCATCTTTCATTTCTTGAAAAACAAAGCATGACCTTCCTCTTTCCTTTGATACACTTATCTCCGCTCACATCAACTTACATGGAGATGCAGGATCACACAGGAAAAGAAACATAAGCAACCACTAGCATTCTGTTAGCTTAGCTTCTAATTAATGTTTGAAAGTTGTAATCCCAGATAGTCCAACGCTAAAGCTGAAATGAGTCTTGAATCTTTCATGGTATGATTTCCTTTACACAGGCCGGGATGGCATCAATAATTCGCTGTAGTGGAGCCGCTACAGGGCTGACGTGTTCCTCGATCCACTCCTCGGCCGTAGAGTCGGGATAAAGATTTACCATCTCTTTTCTCACTGCTTCTGTCGTCTTCTGCAATGTGTCCAAATACCTGAGACGGAACCAGAGAGAAGCCAAACAATAAGCTGGACTAGACAGGTCAACCGCTCATTATCGTTCCAACCATTTAAAATGCTTACAACGAGGCTTGGTTGTGAATGTGCATGGAGTTTAATGGGTTCACCATCTTCTTCTGTCTGTGGTAGGGACTAAACCAACCTCTTACAAACCTGTGAACAGCACAACAAGTGGTTCTTCAAATGTAGAGAAGGAAAGAAATTGTCAAGCTCTAAACATGTTGAAATAAAGTTCACTGAATTGAAAACCATTTTCTCAACACGTCCTGAAGCTAAGATTAGAGGCTATTTAGCAGCAAGATGTAAAGACCGGTCTTGCTTTATGGTGGGAACAGCTACTTTGTAGAGTTTAGAAGTAAAGCTGTTTTTTTTTTCATTACCGTTTGTAGATTTGAGACACCGAAAACAAATGAACCACGTTGCAGTTTCGACTGAAATCTGTGTTTGTTGAAAGCTAAACTAGCTGAATGCTAGCGGTAGCTCACATTTATAGTAGGAAGATGAGATTTTCCAAATTAAATTGAGCAGAAATCAACTGGAATACTAACTCGGAAAATTAGAGTTTCCTCACAGATGCTAACATCAAAATTCAAAATGGCGGCTGCATGAATTGAAAAAGTAAGCAGTTTCTTACTGTATAAGTTACAGTAAGCAACCATTTTTTCCACTGCTGTTGCTACATCGTTTTGTACAATTTTTTTTTTTATCAAAATTGTTGCTACAGTGTTTTAAAGCATAAAATGCAGGTAAATACATTGTTATTGCCCGTCTGTTTTTGCAGTGGGAAGCTATTTAACATTAGACAAATTAAATGTTGCTTTCTTGTTTGATGAACAACAATATTTCTGACAAATTCTCCCAAAAACTGAACACAACTTACATATTGCTTTCAAAAAATCTCAAATCTTCTGAGTTGAGCAGTGAATTCATCTGAACGATTAATTCTGCCAGCCTCCTGCCTGGGAACAGTGACTCGCCAGTAGAAGTCCTGAAAGTCACACAGAGCAACGCTTGACGTAGAGGCGGACCTTGTTGTTTGCTAAACCGGCGTCGGACCTCACCTCTCCATGGCCTCCATCTCCACTGAAGACACTCCCAGCACCTCTGTTACGTTTCTAAGAGCCTCAGTGCTGAATTCTCCATGCTTAAGTGTCTGCAGACAGGATGCTAGGGAGGGGAGAGCTACAGGAAGCAGCTCACACAGTACAGACAGGTGGTCATACCTGTTAATGGGAGAAAAGGAGAACTGAATTAGAAAATCGAGAACTGAGAATTTGTTTTTCTCTCATTTTGTCAACTCCCAACCACAAGAGCATATTTTATGTCAGAGCAAACTTTATGTCAGAGCAAACTTAAGTAAGTAAGGAGGTGTGGATGTTTTTCCGACCCACTTCCACTGATTCTTACCTCTGCCAGCCTGTGATGGCGATGCCTCTCATGTTAATGGCGGCAGGCAGAGAAGCAGCCACCTTCAGCCACTGCAGGTGATTATCCACGTGTCTTTGGGTGCAGGTCACACAGGTGTGAACAGAAGTGGAGCCTTTGAAGGAGCTGGCTGCCCACAGATCGGACATACCAGCGCCGTGGTACTTCTCTAGCAAAGACACTGAAAACACAGTCAAGAATGTTTGATTCGAGCCATCAATGGAGTTCAGTTAACCTTGATAATCTAAATTAAAACAAAACAAACAAAAAAATACAACTTTGAAAAGGTTTTCATTCATTTGCAATGTTTTCATGCCAGATAGTTCGGTAGCGATTACGAGCCAAACTGACAACGTTAGTTACGTTTTCTTACTTCCACAGATTGAGGGCAAAGGTTTTTCAAACAACTTGAAAACCTCTGAAGAAGACACTGATTGACCTCAACTTCCTTCTTTGTGAAATTTAACCAAAAATCAAGAAGCATTAGATTTTAGTCATTGTGAGGTTCCATACAACTGGCTATTTGCTCTGCTAGCACTAGATGCACACATTTGTTTTGTTTGTATTTACCCAGAATGGTCCACATCCTGTGTTAGCCAGACGATTCACATTCATATATACATATGAACATCACCAGAGATCACTTCAACTGAACCAAGACGTAGGTCTGCTTCAGATGTGTGTTCACACCTCCACAAACAAACCGGACTTTCAAGACAACTGTTAGACTAAACAGGGCTGGTGTTAATGCATTCTCTGTTATCAGTTCTAACTTGGTGGTGGAGATTTCTTCATTGCTCCGATTAGAGAATTTGAAGGATCAAAGTTTAGGGAACACCAAACTCCTGATCCCAAGGAGCATCAGGGGAAGTGTCTTACCGGTTTGATCCACATCCAGGTTTGGGGTGTAGTCCCATAACATGGGCTGAACTAGTCCAACTAATCCACTTGCTGTCATGTGGGGGAATCAAATCAAGAAAGGTTTAAATGAGGACATTTCCAATCAAGTGGACCGAAGAGAATAATACAGCCAACAGCATTTGGGATGCTGGTGATTGGCTGATTTGGATGGAAAGTTTCCTCCTCACCTTTCAACGTGTCCTGGCTCATGCCTCTCATCATGTCATCCCACATTATGATATTCATGTCAGGCCACGCCTCTTTAATAGCCTTGGCAATTTTGGTCACATGACTGAGAAAAAGATGTTCCACTGAGCGACCGGTTGAAGCCAGCCAAAGCTTGGAGTCCTCCCCTTCCCCAAGAGTGTAAACCTTCAAGTGTTTAAAACAGGAACATGTATGAGACAAAGACAGAGAGCTAAAAGCCTCCAACCAGAGCAAGACTCCTACCTCATCTGCCCCTATGTGGACCGTTCTTAGATTTGGATGCAGCTCAACCACCTGCCTCAGCATCTCCATCACCAGCTTGACTCCTTCCTCTTTGTGGGGATTAATTGTGCCAACGCAGTGAGGGACCTCTCTAAGGTGCCACAGGGGCCTGTGCTTCAGCACAAACTATGCCAAGGGGGAGATTAAAAGCTTATTACAACTTCAGAATACACAATTTAAAGAGCTTTTCAAGGGTTTGCCACACCTCCATATGTCCAAAAGTCTGCACAAGTGGGATCACCTCCATACCTCTTGCTTTGGCAGATTCCTGAATGGACAGCACCTGCTCTCGGCTAAAAACACGACATTGGTGAAGTGATGAAGGTACCAAATACTGGTGTAGACAAGTGTTTTTATTTTTATTGCAAAATGTTTATGCATATTTAGTGAGATTCTGGTTTAATTACTGCTCTGAATGGTTTTCTTTGAGTCTGTATACGCCAGTAAACGTTTAATCGATTACTAAATTAGCTGTCGATTATTCTTACTCATCACGATTAATCCGATTAATCCTTTCAGCAATGATTTTTGTATGAAATTATAAGTGACCCCCTGGTCTGCACCTGTAAGCAGGCTGCGCTGTGGCCTGCAGGAGCTGCAGCTCTCCCTCGTAGGGGAACATGTCCTCATACTCCACCAGCAGGCCGTCCACACCCAGTCGAGAGAAGAGCTCGATCAGCTGCGGAGGTGAAGCACAGTGAGCAGGAACGGCCGAGCAGGCTCGGCAACACCAGAAGAAAGAGTCGGCTCACCCTGTGAAGGTATTCAACCCGTGGCGGGGCGCCTTTCAAGTCCAAGTGGACCAGTTTCTTTCCTTTGGGCCACGGTGGATTCATTCTGCCTGCAGAAAAAATGTGTGATCGTTCGGGTATTTTTAACGAGTTTGGTGACTATGTGTGATAATTGAACATGCAATGTGTTTGTGAACACACTTTTTGTACTGGATACGTGTTGTTTAGCCCTTTCATCATTTTGTACATTGGTTGTTTGGGTAATACCAAGTCTTTTAAATATAAAAAATAGCTAATACAGTCAGTGATGGAAGTGTGGTTTTATGACTAAAGGAACAGTTCCACAGGGTTCAGAACCAAAAGCAGAGAGAAATACAGTACTATTTGAACATATTATACAATTAATGTGTGTTATACATGGGACGTGAGCTCTTTTATGGTTGTTTATGGTTCCCAATTAATGAACCATAATTAATGGCTCATTAATTATGACCTACAAAGAAAATGGACAAATAATAGTTCATGCTTATAGTGAGAAATTGTTAGTTAATGTGAACAAAGCGGAAGAAACGATGAGATAGAAACGAGAAGGTAAAATAATGGGACCCAACCCAAAGCCGTAAACGACGCAAGAAACGGTCCATGTTTTTGGCGCCACTGGGTTTCCGTATTGGACTTTATACCTGCTTTGACAGTTTTTTGGAATAATTTTCTACATTATACTCTTAGCCCACCCTATGAAAATTTGTCACCTGACTACAATAAATAACATCTGTGGCAGGAGATATTTCATAACAATTTGGGGTCAGAACCCAAATGGAAATGATGTTTAGAAAAAAAATAGTTCAATCAAATGGTATCAGACAAAACCATGGGTCATTTTCTGTGCATTTATATCCATAATTAATGACAATGTGTAAATATATGTATATATATATAAGAAGTTAAATTAATTGGTAAATTTGTTCTTCGGGTTAGAACCAAATGGAGACACACATCTTCGAAGACCTAGAATTAACCAATCAACCCTGAGCCTTAAAGGTCAAGGTCCGTTTCCTTTTCTACTTCCGGTCAGTGTAACCTACCTTGTCAAGCAGCACCTATATGCTTAAGACGCCTGCCGGCCAGTGTAAGAAAACTCTGATAAAATGCGAGCTCCGTGCAAGGCGCTTAAAACTGGAGCGCTTGTGCTTCACAGAGCTAAATGAGTGGAAAAGGGAGCGCAGCTGTAAAATCAAACCTCTGCTCGCTTCCTGCAGCTGTAGCGGAACTGCTCTGCACGTGGACCAATGGACAGCGACGCTTTCTCTTCCAGGAGAGCCAATGGGGTGGGCCGACACGAGTGCGAGCAGGAAGTCGGGGAGCTTCCGGCTGGCGTACGAGCTGTTGGCGGGGTGTGCGGGATGTTTGCTGTGCGCAAACAGCTGTCGGCTGAAAGCTAGCTGAGGCGACATGGCTCTGCTGCGGCTGAGGAACACGAAGGGCCCGAATGCGGCGGAGATAGAGAGGAAAATCAAAAGGTAAGCTAATGAAGTTAATTTCCACCGTTAAAGGAGGCTGGAGGCGCTGAATGGGAGCGAAAACTGCAGGAAAACCAATAAGCTCGACCTGATGGTGGTCTAAATGGCACAAAAACACATCATTTTCGGGCTTTCTTCTTCTTCTTTTTAATAAGACGGTGTTACAGAAGCTCTTATCAAATATAATCTGATTTCTGTTTGTCACAACCACAAACTCAGATGCCTGTTATTAGGATTTTACACCATGCACCAACTCAGAATAGTGCAGAACTGTGCAGTGTTGCATTTCTTTTAACACTCTTTTCACATACAAAGCCTGAAAAGTGTCGGCTGTGTTCCTCCCTCTTTTCTTTTTTCACCCCTAAATAAAGTCCAGTTCAACCAACTGCCTCCAGAGTTCACTTTTTCCAACATGGACACCTAATAAATTAAAGAAACCCAATTACAATCTGCGTGTATGTTATGTTGTGCTCATTGTCACTCGCCTTTGTCCTGACCAGGGGAAACGCCCTGAGGCAGGGGTCTTCGTGGCGGGGCTCCAGGGGACTCCTGGCCCTGCTCCTGGTTGCTCTGTGTGCTGGTACAGTTGCCGCCTGGCTCTACCTGGCTTCCTTGGACGGTGACATCACAGAAACTCTGGCCAGTCGGAGGGAAATGATCTTGCCTCAGCCCAGGGTCTACAGCGTCCAATGCTCAGAGGACTACGAGAACTACAAGCGCTACCCAGGTGATGCTCTGGCCTCTACTGAAACCCCCCGCCCCATCCAATTTTGTAGTTAAGAATGAAAAGCAGCACTACTAATCCTTGAAGGAGCTCAATAATGTGACATGCTGACTACTACAGATAATGGTACCTAGAACATATTCAGTCATGTCAAAAACTTGGGATTCCACATCATTATCTCCCTTGTTAAGAAACAGTCATGTTTGGGTTTCTTTTTGACTCTGAAGAACTTCAAACTCTACATGGGAAACTGGAAAACCTGCTTTCTGCCGTGTCCAAGGACTTTCTTGGAGAAGTTCAGGCTACAAATCCCAATACTAGTCAAGTTTATTTCGTGTCTTGTTGACACTTTCAACTGTCAACAAGAGAGTGGAAAGTGTTTCCATCATAAAAAACATTAGGTGAATAACATCACATTTTGTTAAATGCTATCATCAAAATCATCGAGGAAATATTCAGCAGATATGCTGATCGATGTTTTATTTGCTACTAATCAAAGTCACCTCTAAGCAGGTGGGTCTTTAGTCCAGATGTGAAGGAGCTCAGTGTTTTGGCTGTTCTTGTAGAAGCTGAATGCTGCTTCTCCATATTTGGTTCTGGTTCTGGTGATGGAGACCAGAACCAGAGGAGCTTAGTGGTTCTGGTCTGGTTCCGATTGAGACAACAGCAGATCTGTGGTGCTAAGCCGATCAGTGATCGGTAAACTAACAGCATATTTTAAAGTCTGTTCTCTCAGCTATGGGGAGACAGTGTAGGGACTTTAAAACTGAGGTGATGTGATCTATAGCCAGAGGTCTGCACCTGTCTTATTGATTGATTATTTTTCCATTTTTTAAAGTTTTTGGTAGACCTATGAAGACCTGTTGGCCACTGTTAATCAATCCAACTAAAGATAAATGCATGGATGAGTTTCTCTAGGCATTGCTGCGACATTATCCCTTTTATCTTGGAAATGTTCCTGAGATGACAGACGGCCGACTGTGTAACTGTCTTTATGTCTCTTTAAAGGTTTGTCTCTGAGTCCATCACTACACCCAGATTTTGGACATGTTTGCTAGTTTCTATCTGTAGTACCTGCTGACTCTAGATCAATCACTTTTGTTTCTGTTAAGCTGGAGAAAATCCTGGCACATCCACGCACCGTTAAGAATATGAGCCGTGGTCTGTGACTTCATTCTTTGCGGCACACTTAAGTCTAGCCAGATTTAAGTGCACTCTTTCCAACCTTGTGTAGCAGTTGCAAAATGGATCACACAGGACTCAGGATCTGCATCAGTTTATTCCTATAACACAACGTGGGACACACTCAACCAGTCAGATCCCAGCAGCTCTACAAACATTTTGGAGGGAAAACTTCAAACAACTTGAAAGGGCAACAGTTTAAATCTAACCGAACCTAAAGTGTTTTTTTTAAGACACAGAAAGACAATTAACATTATAATTTATGCAGCACAAAAGAGTGAGAACAATTATGAACATCATAAACATCACTAAGAGTGGGGGCTAGCATTAGCACATCTTCTGCCTGGCAGCTGCAGCTACCTCACAGAACCTCACTCTGTGCGACATCAATAACCATCCTCCCAGAACAACATCAGGAACCAAAAACAACAGACATGTCAACTCAACAAAAAAAAAGTGTTTTTGAGAAGGTTTATAATAATTATAAAAAATAAATAAATCGACTCAGCTACACTTGCACCTTGGAAAGAGTGCCCATGAAGTGTGCAGGGTCTTTCTTATTACACATTCTTTATCGTCTTCACAGTTGCAAGGACTTCCTGCAAGACATATTTAAAGTCAACTTGTTTGATTTCTCAGTATCATCTGACTTCTTATTAACTAATATTTTTGGCTTGATAAGGGTGGTAACGTTGTAAATTTGTTGCTGCAACTCAACTTGTCTTTTTTGTCAGCAATAAAAAAAGTTTTGGAGTTATTTTTCATCCTGCTGAACAACAGGGTAGCCAAACCAAGCTCTTCTATAGCATCTATTTAAAGGGATTTTTGTATATGTATACGCATAACCCCTAACAGGATGTTGGATTTCAGTTATTTTGTTCCATATAATTTTTGATCCACCAGGTGGCACTGCAGACTGAGTGTGTTTCTAGACATCATGTCACTGAGAAGTCAAGAATGTTTGATCAGTAGTTTCTCTAAGTGATCCTTGGCGATGTTTGGAGCTATTCAGTGATGGATATACATGCAATTTTCCACAAGACTTCATTTCAGTCCCGCCTCAAAACAGAAAACTGCTTAAACTTTTGCACCGACGACTCAAAACTCATCGTGCATTTAGAACAAACACTTTATTTCTTGTACTAAATGTTTTTGCGCGCGCGTGTTACATTTTGCTGCTGAGCTGTGAAACGCTGCCTCATGTTTCGCCGTTGGCAGGTTGCACCCCCCAGAAGTGCGGCCGGGCAGTCACGGACGGCGTGGTGACGAGCGAAGAGGCTCAGGCCCTCCGGAGGTAAACCCCCGAACACGCCTCGACTCCTTTCCACGCGACCGCGTCGGTTTTCTGAACGCTTTCTTTGCTTCTCACTCGCAGGCTGGCTGAGAGGGGGCTGGCGCTGGCCGGGTCTGAGGGAGGGGTAAATGTTTCACACACCCACATTTTAATTTCTCGCAAATTGAAATTCTTGTTCACCTGCAGGATTAATACAAAACAAAAAAGTAGTAAATGAAAATGTTTCTACCCTTCAGTTTGCTGTAAGATGATGCTTTTTGTTAGAACTTAAACAATTAGTCGTAGATAATCATGATTAGTCGATTATTAAAATAGCGTCAACTAATTTAATAATTAATCGTATGAATCATAATTAATCACAATTAATGGATTATTGAAATAATCGGTTACAGCTAATTTAGTAGCCGATTAATTATTAGCTGGAGTATTCGGACTCAAAAACGTCCATTTGTAATAAATTGATTAATGAAATAATGGTCAACTCATTTAACGATGAATTGTGACTAATCGTAATTGATTGTAGTTAATTGCACTGATGTTCATTAACTGATTAATCGATTATTGAAATCAACTAATTTAGTAACTGATTAATCATTAAGTATTCGGACTCAAAAAAGGCAGTTTTCTGTATAAAATACATGCAGAGCAATAATTAAGCCAAAACTGTACAAGAAATATATATACTTTGCATTTAAGATTTAAAAAAAGAACACATTTGTCTGTAAATATGTTTTAGGCAAGAAACCTCAGTGAAGCTCAAACTCCAGTGTTGCATTTCTAGCTTCACCCGATTCTAATTCACTAAAGGAATTTAGTTATTTTTCTTATGAAAAAGAGTATTGTATGACTTGTTTACTTACAACATTTCTACTTCCGGTTAAATAAAAAATCTGCACTCCAACAAATCGACAGATCAATTATTAAAATAATTGTTGGTCAATGTCGTACGACTCGAGAACACGTTTTGACGGTCAAGACGGCAAGAAAATGTCATGAAACGAGCCGTCTCTTCACTAACAGACGGCAGTGAAGAGACGCATGCGGCGGCTTCTCTCCAAGAAAAGAGAGACCCGTCCTCAAGAGGCGTCGCGCGCACGGCGTACCCGTCGCTAATTAAAAGCTCCTAAGAACAAAGACAGGGAGCTTGTTAGTGTTGGTGTGTTGGAGTGTCTTTGGGAAGGGGCCAGAAGGCAATCTGCTCCTTTCAGAAGACTTCCACAGTTCTCTTTCTTTAATTGTTCAAGTGTGCGTACAGCAAACAGCTTTTGGCGAAAGCACTGATAGACTTTGAGCTTTTCTTTTACATTACAGCCACAAACTTTAATTTGTGTTTTTTTGTTGTTGTGTGGGAGCAGCATAAAACAGCACACAGTTTAGAATAGAAGAAAAATTACTCAAGTTTAAAGCAGAGTTAGGTTCTTACTTTTTGAACATGCATATATAAAAAAATGTGACCCCTCCACAACCCCCAAATGCTTTCAACTTGATGACTTTGAACCTCATGGATAAAAGTTTGACGGTCACTGATTTAATTAGTTCACCAATTGAACTCGTGTATGTTATCTGTCATGTGAAACCCTCAGCAAAATCCACTTGCGCTTGTAGAAACATATAAAAACCAAAGAAATGGATAAAAAAAAGAAAGGTGTGGTGTTCCAGGTATTTGTCCTTCTTCCAAATTTTCCGATTTGGAGCCAGTCTTTGCCTTTCATTGCGGCACTTTGACTTTGTGGAACCAACAGGAAATAAAACTCGCCATCTTTTTAAAATGGGTACATAGTTGATACTTTCTAACTGGACGACCAGAACTTTATTTAAAATGGCTGAAAAAAATCCAGAAATGCGATTCTTGAGGTCTGGAAGTACGTCTGGTTTTCTTGTTCAGTCTTTTCGTAATCGAGTCGTAATCGGGTTTCATTTTTTTGGAGTTTGAATAACATTTTTTTCTTTTTTCTTTTTATACTATCATACATAAAAAGAACCAAAGCTGTTTAAAACCAGCAACTGTTTTTCCGTATGCTTGCTTTAGTTTTATTTATTTATTTTTGTCCACAGTTCTCCAAAACCATCCCGGGGGGGGAAATCATCAAAACTTTAAGTGAAAGACAAACATGCCACTTTTTGCTTTCTTCAGCGTAAATCTGGCTTATGATAAAAATATTTTCTGTATTTCAGAATCCTCCCCAGTTCTGCTTATCTGAGGAGCTCAGGGATGTTTGCTTGGCCTCACTCTCGATAAGCTGTTGGTCACTAAATCAGCGGATTGCTCCTCCAGTGGGGATTCCCCCAGAAATAGCTCACGCAGCTCAAGGAAGGGCTTGTTTTTCCCCCTATATAACCTGCTGCCATGGGAACGCTTCACCTGTTCTGGCAGCAGATTGTGTGTGCCCATCATCAGGTTGGCTGCATACCGACTGGACGTGATATTAGCGAGTTGTAATGGGACGTCTGGATAAGAAACGGGAGTGAAATCGGTGTAGTAAATCCGGTGCGCTGCTTCATGTTTTCCATACTTTAGTACGCCAACAAATACCAAAACAAACTTCTGCAAAGCCGGGAGAGATATTTTCCTTTTGTTTTCTTTCTACAAATCAAAATCTGAGTATAACATGATTTTGTATTCATCCCTTCTTTGCCAATTCTTTGTAGAAACACCTTCAGCTGAGGAGACCTGAGGTGTGCGGGCCTTCGTTGAGTTGGTGTCCTTCGCTAAATTCACCTTCAAACGACGCCTTCATGAATATTTCATCGGCGCGCCTGTGAAGTGCTGTGATGGAGTTGAGACTTGCTGCCAGAATTTTTCACAGATGACCCAGAGATCTTCCTGCTCAGCTGCTGAAAAGCGCTCTTGTGTTTGGATTTTTAAGTGCAGTTGAGGTGACAGGATGTGTTGATGCTCCTATCAGGCGAAGTTGTGGTGGAGAATCTATGTGCAGCAGTGAGATTTCTCCGACAGAAGATTAGGGACTTTTAATGTAGCGAATAAAATTATTACAAGGAAAAAAAGTTGCGCAACAATTAAGTCAAAATATTCTACCAAGAATAAACTTGTATCACAAGAACAGTCGTCGTAATATGAGAGTACTCATATTATTGGAATAAAGTCGTCAAACGAGAATAAAGCCGCACGACAAAAGTCATGAGAATAAAGTTGTAATATGAGAAAGACGTTGTAATAATGCGGGAATAAACTTGTATGGCAAAAAGTCATGAGGATCAAGCTGTAACGAGAGTCATAAGGATGCAAAAACAAACTGATAATGATTATTATCAGTTTCAGGACTTTTGAAAAAAAATCAGACTAGACAAGTTGGTCACATAGGATTTTGGTAACATTACCCAAGCTTTTTTATTTCTCATTTAAACAACTTTTCTTCTTTTCTGTTGGTAATATTGTGTCTTTATTCTGCTGATATTATGACTTCGTTTCTATTTTTGGTGGTAAATGGGGACACGACCTCCGATTTAAATGTAGGCATTTCAAGCAGTTCTACCTTACACCTGTAGAGGGCGGCGTCGTACAGGATCCCTGCGCATAAAGAGGCGCTGAGGAAAAGCGGAGCGAGGAGACCTCAGCCGAGACAGAAACTTTTTAGAGAGTTTTCAGATATTTCAGTGAAGCAACAAAGCAGCTGCTGAGAAACTGACTCGTTTTGTCCCAGAAGATTTGGTGAGCAGTAAACAGGTAAAGGGCAACAATCTGCGAGAAAATAAAAACACTGGAGATTGACTGGCATTGAATCTCGACACACACTGGCCACACGTCACTGTAGCTGAACTGAGCTGTGTGATATGTGTTTTCCCTGCAGGCCTCCATACTTGACCTTCACTCTGGAGCGCTGTCCATGGGGAAACAGTTTGTCAATATATACAGGTGGGAAGTCACACCTTGCCTTTATTTGACCATCTTAAGCGTTTCTTGACAGTTTCTCAGTGTTTTTGGTGATGCTTGGGGTCAGCCACCGGTCCAGTGACCCCATCCCAGAGTCATTCATCATTCCTGTCAGAATCCGACTTTATTCGGATTGTCCGCTCTCAAACGCACCCCCTCAGGTGTCGGCCACCTGTCCCACCCGGCAGGTGGCCGACGGTTCTCAAGAGAACATCTGTCAGATTTTAATCTGAAAATGCTGACTTAACAGTTCGCACTCAAAAATCAAGACTTTCTGTCAGTCGCTTGCTTGAAATCTGCTGCTTTAATGTTTGATTGAATGTTCAACTATTTTTACTAAAATAAAATGTTTGTTTTTTTCCCTTCTCTGTCCTGTGCGTCGGTGATCTATGTCCTGTGGCCTGTGACCTCTGGCTCTGTGGTTCTGCTGCAGGTATTTCGGGGAACAGATAGCAGATGTCTTCACAGAAGAGGATTTCAAGCTTTACAGGTGATTATAAAGTACGATGGCGTATTGGTGCCATTGTAAATAGAAAAAAAAAAACAAGACAAGACTTTGTTTCTGCTGAATTTTCTAGAAAAAGAAAAAACCAAGGACGCTTCTGACATTTCACTCAAAAGTTGCTAGAAAATGTAGAAATTTTTGACTTTTCAAACAAGTTTTTGACTTTCTTCAAAATTTCTGAGAAGTCAACATTTTTGACTTGTAAATTTTCAAACTCGGCAGTTTCCATTTTTCTTTGTAGGAAATTTCTAAGGTTAATGTCAAAACTTTAGTTTTTTGTCTACTTCTTTTTTCCCCCTTTTTTAACTTCCTTTTTTTAAATTAGGATTATTGATCATAGTAATAATCATAATAAATACACAATATCACATATTTTCTCCAAATAAGGCAGTAATGGACTTTTAAACCTCCCTCAGTCTTAGTGCAAGGCTCAGATGACGGTTGATTAATGGGGAAACGATGGTGGTGTCCTGTCAGTTCCCGAAACCATAAAAGGAAAAAAAAACTCATAAAAGTGCACATGGGGTAAAAGGTCATACAGGGTCTACTGGACCCTTCTGCAGGACGGTTAAATAAGAGTATAAAGGCCTTTTTTGCTAGTTAGGATGGAACAAAAGTTAAAGATGAATCTAGAATATTTATCTATGAGCATGTCTCTTGGACAGCTGTGGCTGTCGCTGTATAGAACCATAAATCATACTGAAATCAGCTGTCACCTCGGACTCGTCTCTCCCATTTTTCACCGTTAGAGATGTGCGGGGCCGGATTCAGGCCGTCATTGCAGAGACGTTTGGCTTGGACCGAACCCTGATGTACCTCACCAAGCCCACCTTCTTCTCCAGAATCAACAGCACCGCAGCCAAGACGCAGCATGACGAGTACTGGCACCCGCACATCGATAAGGTAACGGACAAACACAGAGCTGCAAGTTTGTTTGGCTGCAGATAAGCTGGTGCAGATTTGGGTTTGTGACCTCACCGCGTCCAGAGCTGCTACATCGGCTGGAAAAGCCTGGGGTGGAATCACTTTACAGGGTCAGGTGATGTATGGCAGGAAATGGAGTATGGTTATCAATACTTCCAAACTTTATTGGCTATCCTGTGAGTTTAAATATCCTTCCTTCCTGCCTGTTTTTGTTGTTTACTTTCTCTGCAGCTTTTTTTTTGTGTATGTGTTTCCGTCTCTTTGCTTTTTTTCTCTACTTCTCTTTCTTTCAATTCTCTGTAATTTGTGTTTCTTCCTTATTGGCTTCCAAACTTGCTTTCTTCACTTCCTTCCTCTCTTTCTTCAAGTAGAGAAATCTTCCCCGATTTCAAAGCTTTGGCTGAAGTTGTGCTTGTAACACCAGTCTCTTATCAGATTATCCGTAGTTAAAATCTGTCTACAATACAAAAGTTTCTAACAAACAAACAGTATTGTAATACAAACTTAAATGATTGCAAACCCGTCTGTCTTTCGTTGTTTCTTTCATCCTTGCACGTTACTTTTTGATGTTGTTTTCTGCAGCTGTTCACATCAGACATGCTTGAATTTTTATCAAAATTCAGAAATTGGATCTTTTAAAATCTTCTCTGCCTCGTTTGTTGTCTGAAGACATTCGCTTCTCCCAGGTTTGAAGAACACGTTGGTTCCGGTTGAAAGGACAGTCTCTCTAGGGAGTAAAATGTTTTTGTAAACTGAAATTGTTTAAAAATCTAAAATGAAATGTATGTGACTGTGACTCGTCAGGGTTAATCGGTTTAAGACAATAGTAGAAAATCAAACACTATTTCTTCAGCCTGTAGGACTAAAAAATAATAAATACGGTCATTGGTATTGGCTGTAATGGACTCGGGATTCTCGATGTCAAACTATTTCTCTGCTGCATTGACGTTTTGTCGATGCGTCAGTCCCCATATTGACCTGTTTTTCTCGTTTAGAAAAGCACCTTGATGACGGTTGTTCTCTTTGCCTTGTTTCCTGATTGCTTCCAGGTCACCCGTCGTGTTGCCAGATATCCTGTGTTGGCTTTTAAAACGTATTAATATTTGCCTCTTCACCGTGTCCTTCTGGCTCTCAGCAACAGGAAACAAACAAATCAAAAGAAAGATGCCTCTTCACTTCGCCATCTGCCTCTGCCACTATTCTGAGGCCAGTTGGAGAGCCCTTCCCTCATTTGCATGCAAATAACCTCCGACGTCTTTAGCGGTGGCTTTTCTTTTGCCCATCGATCAATAAGTTGATATTGTGTCAGAGCTACAGTTGAAGTGTGACAGCAGAGAGATGGGTTTATTGTTTATGGCGGAAATGGACCCGACCGCGAACTGCTGCCGACACGTTTACATTCGTGACCCGGCCTCGTCTCTTGACGGAAGGGAAGCCCGACTCCAGTTGATGGCCAATTAGAGCCGCATAACAGCCTCAGCCGTCCTCTTAATAGACCTTGGATTGCTGTCACAATGAAACCAAACTGAAGATGGGTTTTATACACCTCTTTGGCATTCTTTCAAGACTTTCCAGATAGGTTATACACAACTGATATTGTGTATTAGCTGGGAAAGTTACAAAAAGACACTTTGACTCAAACAATGTTTTGATTTTTACAAGATACATTCCACCTTTTTATGAATAAAAAAAAAGGATTCCTATCTGAGCTTTCACTCTCACTGTGACACTCTCCTCAGTGCACCTCATTGTACTAAAAGCACGTTGAAGAGTCATGCAGGCTTTCGGACCAGTCTATCTGAACCAGTGGTCCAGAAGAAGTGTGAGTTCCTCCCACTAAAACAAAGACTCGTGGGATCCTGCTGACTTCATATCACTTCGCGCAGAGAAATGTTCCCCCATTTCAAAACTTTGGCTGAAGTTGGGCTTGCAGTACCAATCTATCCTACTGAAAAGCCCAATACTTCACGACAGTAGCCTTTGCAGCAAGACTCACTTTTGATTGCAAACAAACAGGTCAGGAATTCAGGCCCATGCAACCCGGGACGAAGTTGTGAGGCCACAATAAGTTAATCATTCATAATTTAGGGGCGGTATTATGTATTTTCCAGGCACAGCGTGACGTTTTGTAGCATAATCCAGTAACTCTAATTTTACTTGGCGTCAGTCAAAATGACTGCAAAAACATAAGGTGTCTTTTTAGTCAGTGTTGGTTACATTTCATATTATTTGCATAAGGAATGGAAACTTTTTATTTGATAAAAAAAAAACCTATAGCATATATGTTGCGTAGCATATGACGTCATGTCATATGCATATAAGCAACATATTTTATGCCACGTTTTTTTTATTTTTATTTCAAATAAAACGTTTCCATTTCTATGCTACGATTATGATATGAATAGAGCTGCGGTAAATTATTTGTGGTCACTATGTCAGCAATTTTGCCTTCTTTGCCTTCGTAGACGATACTTTGCTTAACTTAGCTCCCAATTCCCCTCCTTACAGAACCTTTGGGATTAATTAGGCAGGAGGAATATTGCATATGTTGAGACGAAATGGCCATTTAATCTGCTCTTCATACATGGCCACAGAGGAGGCCTGCTTTTCAATAATGCGGTGTTTATATTGCACGACCCACAAGAGCTCTAATAAGAACCGCTCGTACCCATGAAAGCCCAGCACATAAAATGTCATGTAGCCTTATCGAACCGCGTCAAATTCCACCACAGCCATTTTAGCGTCTTGTTTCATTGCTTCCATTTGAATGTTCTGAAAGGCGACGGCAGCGTGTTTCTCTGGGAGTAATGGCAAGTAATTACACGAATTCAACAGGCCCTCCAAAGTATTTCAACCTGAATTGTGGAGCACTCCTATAACCTTCATACCACACAGGCTGTCATTTATTTCTGTTAAAAGTATTTACCTGTTGGAAAAGTGGGTTCTGTGTTAATCACAGCTTCCTTTCTACTGGAAAAAAAAAGGCATACTGTGATGTTTTCACGCCTGAAGCATTCAATTCATATCGTATGTGGGGGAAAGAAAAGCAGCGAGCGAAGGCTAAACCACATGAATGATTGCTTTCAATCTTGCAAAAGTGCTGCAAGAAATTTTTGGAGATGGTTTGTGGTGTCAGCGATTCATAATCCATTTCAGTTCCTACTAAATACTTCAGTAATTAGCACTATTATTGTTGCTAAGCTGCTTGTCTTTGTCCACGCCAGTTATTACCCAACGCCATACTCTCTCGCTTTCAGCTAACCATGGCCTGTCTTTCACACCAACAACAATGTTCAATATTGTTCTTTTGATGTCGTAACCCTCTGAGAAGTACTTCGAAACCACATTTGAACCCACTGCTGCACAAGTCTGTCCAGATGTCCCGTTTCTGCTTATATCAGTGGCCTCACCCCACTTGACAGCGGTTCCACCCCGTATCCAAAACTGGCCCGTCTTGTTTTCTGTCTTTTTTTTTTCTACATTAGCAGAACGTAGTTTAGTTCACAATCCTGCCAGTAGGGGCACTAGGGTTGCTCACCAGCATGATTTGATTGGTTGGAGAATAATTTCTAGGCGACTTAAGGTTTCCAGTGGGCGCGTTACGGGGACATAATCCGGTGAAGCTGTTTCCTTTCTCTCAGGAGTTCCACCTGTGTAAACCTTCAGAAAGACCTGGAATTGGCAAGTACAGTTGTTTCCAAGTACGCAATAAGCAATTCCCTCAACAGACATGGCGTGTGTTTGCAACCTTAAGACTCCCCTGCTTAAGGTTGCTGCTCGGCACATGAAGAAATAAGAAGTTTTCCAACTTGTTTGACCTGTTCATTCTAACCAGTCACTTCACAGATGCTCACTTTGCTCCACATTGAGCTCCTCTGCTGGTTCAAAGGTGTGTCACTAGTGGATCAATTCCAAACCCTCTCCATTTCCCTCATGCATCATACAAATTAATCCTTAACCTACAGTAAAAAGGACGGCGCCTTTCATGAGGGCTGTGTCCTCTGACGTCTGTCTTCCCACGTCCTATGCCGTTTTGTCTTTTTTGTTTCCTCCCTAGGATGAGCTGTACTGAAGCAAATTTCGTTGTGCTGGTGTATGAAGACAGTAAAGGCTGATTTTGATTCTGAAAATATGCTCAGCTATTTGGCGGGTCAGTCATGCTTCAACTCTCTCTGTCTTTTAGGAGACGTATGGCTCTTTTGACTACACATCTCTCCTGTACCTGTCTGACTACGGCTCAGACTTCACCGGCGGGCGATTTGTCTTCATGGACCAAAACGGCAATCGAACTGTGGAACCCCGGGCAGGTACTAGCTAGCGGCTCACTTTTAATTTCCAGGGGAAGAACTGAGTGGGGGGTGGGGGATTTAACCCCCAAATAACCCTCCATTCATAATTTTGTCTGATTTCAGTTGGAAAAGGATTTATTCATGTGTACTTGGCACATTCACAGTAAAGGACATATTGTTTGTTTACGTAGCAAAGTGAGATCTGCTCATTAGCTCTTGATGGCTAAATCGCCTTATGTATGCATATCCTTTGCATACATAAGGATATGCAAAGGATATGCATTTACTAATTCCACTTCAAACAGAGAAGCTTGACCTGTTGAAGGCCAGCTGCTCCCCTGAAGGGGGGGGTGAAAGCACCAAAATGGGCAGCGAAATGACTGTAATCCTCTCTAAGTGGGTAATCAGACCTCTGCACAGTGAAGATTCGGGGAATTGTGTTTCACTCTGCTGCAAATACTCAGAGGGTTGGACATCCTCCACTTTCAGCAAATTAGGCGATCTATTTTTATCGAAGCGGGTTCTTTGTATGAGCACTTAACCAAAAACAAGTGAAGGAGAAATTGATTAAGCTGACTCATTAAATTGTCCACAGTGAAATTGCAAAGTAATATAGCGAGTCGGTTTTTTCAAGCGTGTGAAGAAGTAGTACTTTCAGTGCTCTTGGGAAATGGTCGAAACTGAATTACTTATAGATCGATCAAAAAGTCTCGGTTATATTTCAACTGGACTTTCTCATACAGTGTCTTCCATTGCGTCGAGATACTAGTATTCCACTTTCAATCCTGCGTGACATTTATATTGTGCTAATAGCAAAGGCAAAACACATTTAAGAGTGTCGCTTTTAAAAGCCTTTAACTATCAGAAGGACCTGACGATTCCATTGACCTGCATGCAAGTGTTTGACCATTTAAAGACTGACTCTGCTGTTTTTATCAGGGGATCGTTTTAATGTTAGACAGGAATGCAGGCATTCTGGATAAAATGAAATGAGCTCCAGTTGATGCATGGTTTCTTTTTTTATTATTTATTTATTTGTGTCCCGTCAGCGTCAAGATCTGTTGGTCATCTTGACATCCTTGACAGAAGTCAAGCATAATGAGTTTTTTTTCCCAGCTTTGTTCTTTGGTGTGACGTCGGTAAATGGTGTCTCTCCTGCATGATTTCAAAGCTTTGTGAATTTGCTCAGCATGGCTAACAGCTCCTCAGCTCTCTCCGGCTTCCCGACAGCTCTACCTTGCCTTTATTGCATCTGACAGGAAGCAGTCCCGTGGTATTCCTGTCCTCTTTGTCTCCTCCCCTTAATCTCCACTCATTGTCTTCTGTCCTCTGTCCCAGTTTGCCTCTTTTAATCTCCGGCGAACAAAAAGCCGACTTTTGTCCCCAATTTTCTACCCATTGTCGCAGCTCCTTCTCTTCCCCTGTGTCACTTCACGTCTGCTCCGTCAAAGTCCTCAAGCGCCGCTGAGGACTTTGACAACATGGCGAGGGAAGTTAGCTGAAGGTCACACGTTGGAGCAGAAAAAAAATGCAGACGACGCAAGTGAGCTGCAGTCAACAGTCTCGTTTCAGTGAAGTTAGACTGTCCTTCGAGCAACAGGAAGGGCGGCGTGCAGATAACCTTCATCCCATTGAAACGAAAATAACAAGACAAAAAAGTTGGACAAATTTGTTGCGTGTAATTGCACCGTTTCGTCTTTAAAGGTTTTCCGGTGACATTGCGAGGCAGATGGCTGTCAGGTTCTAATGGGCGAGAGTCTGCTCATCAGATTTGAAGGCCTGCTGGGTTTGCACAGATATTTTTGGCTCTTCTGAAGTAATAGCATCTAATTGGGTGTAATTAGAACATCATCAAGACGATTAGAGAGAAGAAAAGTCAAGAGCGTTAGGGAAATTTTATCAGACTGGTTGAAGTGATGTCGGGTAGCAGAAAATAGATTTGATGGACAGATTTACTGGAAAAAGAAATGGCCACTTAGAGATTTAGAGGGATTTAGGAATGGATCAAAAGATGACATGTAAGGTGAAGCGTCTTTGGCTGCAAAGGGTAGATTAAGTGACAGGTTGAAAAGGAATACATGAGAATCCATGCAGCCAGTCGTGGTCCAACCTGCTCGCATACAGTTTAGGTCCATTGCTCAAACCCAACCTCCATCCAGGTCGGATCAAGCTGAAATTAAACACTCAATGGTCTGGAGGTTCTTTAAGAAACCTGCAGACCCGACGTCACAGAGAAAATGAAAAAAGAATACCTGACGTCGAGGAACGGAAGACAGATGCAGAAATTAAAGCCACCAGATACTTACAACCTGAGCTGTGGATACTTGCATCTCCTCCAGAGAAGCACCTCTTGGTTGCTACTCTGATTACTTACTTGCACTGCCTTTTGTTGTACTGGATATCGTACGGGGAGCCAACATCAACTCAAGTAGCCGCAAATTTTTACTTGTAAAAACATGTTAAATGCATCTTTTATTCCTCCTTTGTGCACAACACAAAAAATCCCATTCAGAACGTTGAGTTTTGTGGTTGTGTGTCCTCAGACACCTCAATGAAATTATCTAAGAAAACAGAGAGACCAGCTGAATCGAGGCCCCCGCCAGCCCCCCTGCAGTGCGACAAAATCTGCTGCTGGAACGACCCAAAAGATGAAACCAAACAAACTCTGAGGCAAAGCTTGACACAGGCGAGAGAACAGTCCAACTGCGCACTCGTCTGCATCGGTACCAAGAAACCCGACAGCCCTCTTGCAGGTCTTCTCTTGGATTCAGCTCACAGGTCTTTGTTGTCTCCTTTCTATTCTTTCTATTCGTCTCTTCTTGTTGCGGTTTTCACCTGCTGCAGCTGTAATAATCAGTTTTTTGTTGTTGGACATAATCCTCCTGTTACAGCTTCTCCCCACATTAAATGAAACCATTTCTTGTTTTATTAGAAGGTAAAATGCAAGGAAAGAGTCAATTAAAGGGTTCTGTAGACAACGTTTTAATGTTATTGAGTGATTTCGAAGGTTGGAGTCCGTACTTTGCTTGAAGGAGCACTATGATGTGAAGTCGGCTTTTTTGAGCTGTTCATCATGCTATGACGTTACTCCCTCGTCGTAAACATACGTGCAGTGTTGCCTCGATTCTTTCATGCGTGTTTGGGAAAAAATCCTTCTATCTCCATGACAACCATTCGGCTGTGCGAAACGCCTGGTTGCGCCTAGCGCCGCCTTCAAGACGAAGCTCGTCCTCCGAGCTGCAGTTTCCAAACGTCCACCTCACAGATCAGCCCTCCCACTCGGCTCCTTCAGACTAGCCAGCATCAATGAGCATCCACTGAGCTCATTATGAAATTATGAAAAATGTTATTTAGTTGAGGAGCCATGTTGCAATGACTTTCTGAGGGCGGAGTTTCTGAAAGGACCAGAAGCTTCTTAAAGAGACAGAGGCCCAATTTCAAGGCATTAAATTACAAAGAAGGATTTCTTTTAAGACATATTTGATACAGAAAGCATTTTTATAACAACTGAAGGTAACAAAGTTACTTGATTGTGCTATGAAATGACACCAAGTAGCTGACCCTTCATATGCCGCTGGCAGCATTGTGCTTGTGGCAAAAAGAAGATGTTTAGATGGATTTGAATTTATCTGTGGTGTTTGCATTATAGCTAATCAGAATATTATAAGTGGCTGATTGTATCTAAAAAGATTCCTTACATGCCTAAATAAAATCTACCTTTAAACAAACCTGTGACTAATAAACAAACGCCACTGCCATGAAGGCCGAGTAACACTCAGATAAAGTTGTGCAGATGTTCAAGTAGGGTTAACTTTTAAAAACATCTCGCCGAGCCTTTTGTACTTTCCGCAGCGCCCCAACTATCGAGTCACATCAGCTTTTACAAATTCACGGCACAACTCTTTGTTTCCCAGGCCGAGTGTCATTTGCATACGTGATTGTTTTCACAGCCCGGATCTGCTTTTCCATCTGCTCCAGAAATCAGTCTTTTATGTCGTTATAATTGGCTTTCGGGTTTTGTACCGTCTTATCCCCCTTTTACCTTTTTGAATTCATTTCGCGGGTCTTCGCTGCTGTTCAGACGGAACATCATTTGCATGTGTGGTGAGAGATGAAATAAATTCATGCAGCACGTGTCCATTAAATACTAGTGGGCTGTTTTTATGTGCCTTTTCATGAGCAGTATATTGAATAAGCTATGCTATTTGCCAAGTTCAATGATTTAATTACATATTTAAGAAACCGTTTTATGAATTATTTATTGAATTGACACCCCTCAATCCTAATTGGCTCAGTCAGCCAACATTGCCGTCAAACTGCACTGAGAGGATCTTTTGTATGTTTGTAATTGGCCGCTGAATTGAAAACCTGTTGGTCGCTTTTGCTTTTGCAGATGCACTACGCAGCTCTTTTATTGGTAGAACAGGATTTATATGTGTAATTTTCGATTCTGGACCTGCTTTGTCCGAGTTTTCCAGAACTTTTCATGTAGCCAGAAGTTTCAGATTCATTTAGTTTCTCCATTTGACTTCGAAAACATAGGTTCTATGTCGTTCTACCAAAAATGCACAATTTTTCTCTCGTCCCACATGAATGAATTAAGCCTCTCGAGTCATATTTTTAGACTGTCAGGTCCTCCGGCGGTAGGAAGCCGGAGTACCTGGAGAGAACCGGGAGAACATGATCCCTGACTCACTTCCCAGGCATTGCACGGAAGAAAGGTCTTTTGTAGGGAAACGCAAACAGTTTCAGCTAAACCTCACATGACAATCGTAATGTATGCATTTTACTGAAATGTCTTGGATAAATAATAATAATAATAATGGTCTCTCAAAGACTGACTAACTTAGTAAAGGACACTCAACACTGGAAAACATTTTCGATATCCAAAATATTACCCAACCAAAAATTATGAATTGAGAAGGAAATAGGAAGCGCTTGCCAGCAAAATCATAAATAACACATTATGACGTCTCTGCAAACAAATATTAATAATCACAATTGAAATGTAATTAATCGCACAATTAATTGATTCGTTGATTAACGAATTGCGGCAGACACAAACACAAAATAACAATTCAGAAAATCCAACCAGGACAAACTGACGTGGGACTCTTTGGATTTCCTCCCGGTTTTGTCCGTGGTGTGGACGCGAGGAAAAGCAAACCCTCGCCCTCTTCTACCCCGTTGTCAACTTCCTAGTTCCTTCGCGCCCTGGAAATGACCTGGAAAAGTTTTATGCCTAAGCCTCTCGAACTCCACCGGCTAATCTCCCTCACCCCACTGTTGGGAGTCTGAAACGTTCTTCACAGTAAACACCGTGAGCATTCCCTCTAACACTTGCAGGGAATTATTTCCAGATAATGCCATTTGGAAGTTATCTAAAGCCACGCAGGCGTGGAGGAGTGTCCTTATTCTCTCACTTTTCAGTCCTTTCCTGCGTTTGCTGCTCATCCTTGTTTGGGTGTTCATTGTCCCGCCGCCCATTCTTGCTTGTTTTCTTCACAGTGGATTCTTTTGTTTAGCGCGGAGATCTAATTTTCCCTGACGACCTCTAATCTGATAGGCTGCCAGGGGGGGTTGCGACGCCCCCAGAAAACCACACAGGGACCCAAGTTGTTTGTTTTTCATCAGGGGGAAAGTAGAACACCGACTCCAGCTTTTTTTCTCTTCCTTTTTTTTGCCGTTTCATCCAACGAGTCAACCCCTTTAAAAGAGGCGAGACAATAGCGAGTTTTAAAGCGACTTTTAAAAACTTTTTGGTGAGATTCACGCTGGCTGGTAAGTAGCAACAGCTGGTTGGCCTCGGATAAATGAAGAGACTGTCAGGAAATCACCAAGTGTTGATTAAAAAGCAAAGTAATGTAAATCTTTGTGAACCGGCTTGATGCAAGAGCTTTAAAGTCTTCTTAAAACTGCCAACACGTCAACAGTTTTGAAACTGACAGCTTTTAATTTGTTCTTTGATTTGTTTTCCGTTGCATTCGGGACTTTGGTATCACTTTACAACATCCTTTTGTGAGTTTCAAATGAAAACGCCCCCTCACTACATCTTCTGCTCTTGTACAATCGCCTCTCTCCGTTCCTTGAGCAAAACCTTTCTGTTCCAGATAGTAGAGACTCACTTCTGTGATTAAAGTGAAAGCTGGTCGCACTTCACTTTTTATACTAATATTTCTCAAACGATAAGGGACGTAACATGTAACTGTGTCAAGATGAAGCACACAAATAAATGTGAACTTGGTGAAAAGTAGACTGACATTCTTTATTTAAATTATAAATATTTTTCACAATTTATGCAATAAATATGTTGTAGTTTTTTGTTCAGCTTGACCCTGTTTACCATTTGTTCAGCAAAGTTCACCCAACTACCGTAAAAGTCTGACGTTGACTTTTGTAAGACGTCAATGTTGTGCCAAACATCCCATCTAACGATGGGATGTTTCCTGAAAAGTTACACTTCCTCTTGAAGTCTTTTGTACATTCACTTCCTCACTAAAGAGTTATGTTTTTGTTTTGTTTCCTCTCTCCTGTCCAGGGCGAGTGTCTTTCTTCTCCTCTGGATCGGAGAACCTCCACCGCGTGGAGAAGGTGACGTGGGGGACGCGCTACGCCATCACCGTCTCCTTCACTTGCAACCCCAGTCACGCCATCTCCGACCCCTCCCTGCGCTGAGGCGTCCGTGGGACGGCGCTGCTCCCCGTGCGCTCGGACGAGCCCTGCAACAAAGACGGAGACGAAGAAAGTGAACAGGAGGGAAAAAAAACGTTATTTTAGGTGCACAGGCTGTGGTCCAGAAGCCTCGCCGGCCGCTGCGTCTCCTGTTGGAGGAGAACCACGAGACGAGCCAGAGGAAGCCGAACGTCAGCAGAAATTCTTTCCTGGAAACATCAATTTTTCACCGAAGGGAAAAGACTTGGATGTTACTGCGCACAAGCTGGGATTCAAGGGCACAAATGTTCTCCATCGTTCCACCACTGACGTGTGTCCCGAGTCCTCCGGATGTTTCCAGACGGAGCTCTGCAAAATGTATTTCCACATTTTGCTGTCATATTCCAGAAATGTCCCACAACATTCCATATTGAGCTTTACACACAGATGTCTTGTGTCAAAGCACCAACTTTTAAATTTCACACCAAGACACTTCTTTGTAATTTCAGACATTTGTAATTCTGATACGATACCGATATTGCAGCTTTGAGTATTGGCCGATACCGATACTGCCCCGACACGATATCAGCACAAATCGTAAATACTTTTAATTTGTTATGTGGGATGTTATGAAAAACTTGACCAAAAAATAATAAAAAATCAATTTCTCAAACAGAAATCAATTGTCAACAATAACATGTATGAGAAGAACTGATCCTTTAACCAAAGCGTTTGGGATACTAAGTGCTGCTGGAGAGGATTGCTTCTGTCAGAGATTTTAGATGCAGGGTGATATAATACTCATTTTTTGTATCCCATCATACTGTTTTCCGATAAGAATATTGGCTTGGTGAACCCCTAATAATCAAATCTTTGTCTATGGGTACCCAGAACTTGGTAATGACAGCTTTTTATCGCCTGTGTTCCTGGTTACTGTGAGTCTGGATTTGTCCTCTGGTTCCTTCTGTTCTTTGGTTTTGTTCCATTTGATAAAACAAAATGTAATTACAAGCTGATAACCTGTGTAAATACAATGACGTTTTCAAATATTTTCAGTGGAAACCAACTTTGCAACTTGTAATGTGTTTACTGTAGATGGATTTTGGCCCCAGACTTTGTTGCAGAATTTTTTTAACTTGCCCAAACTGGAGGACTGAACAAATCATCACCTGAAAACTCTTTTTTTTTTTTTTTTTTTTTTTTTTTTTTTTTTGTTAATCGGATTATCTTTGTCTTATAACAAATTGTTTACATTTAAAGGAAAAATCGGGGAGCCGTTGCTTTTCTTCTCCTCCCAGTACGTCCTCCAACGGTTCTGGTCGTTCTTGTTTCAGTCAAGTTTTTTTGGGTTCATGGATGTTTCTGATCATACGGGACTTTTTGAACGTTTTGCTCAAAATGCAACCGGGTTACAGATGCAAGTCTCAGGGTCACGTTTCTCTTCCTCCTCGTGCCAAGGTTTTCGCCGTGTTTTTGTTTTCTCCTGTTGGACTGAACTTCGAGAACTGCATGTGCCAAAGCCTCATTTCAGCACACAGATGTAATGTCCTGTTTCCTTTAAGCAATTATGAAGCCATAACACTTGAGTGAACACTTTGTGTTTATAAAAATCAGCCAAGATTACACATGCGTCTGCCTCCATTCTTATCCACACCTTGGGAGCCACTTCAGGAAATTGCTTGATTGATGATCAGTGTGAGAAGTCATCTTCCTCGCCTTTCTTATTTTCCGCGCAGGTGCTGCAGCCGATCCTTTGTTTCAGATCCCCTTTTTATTCTTAATCGATTGTGTGGGTTGGTTTTAGAGTCGCTCATTGAAATTCTATTTCGCTTTGATGATGTCTGTCAAACCTGAGCTGCATCCCAGCTCAGGTTTTTTTCTTACTCGCTCCTGAGTATCTGAAGCTCGCTTTAGCTCAGACATTTCAAAAGTGATTGCTTTTTGCTCGTTTGTGTGTTGCGTCTCGTTTTGCAAGTATGTGGACCTTGACATCAAAACAGGAAAACTGGAATACCTCCGTTATAGTTGTATGAACAACAATTTTATGAACCCATCTGAAGACTAAAAGCTATAAGCAAAGAACTTAGCACTGCTTTGCTGCAAATGCAATTTAATGCAATTTAATGCGAAAGTTTGGTGCAAAACCTGAGTTTATTAGACATGCCTCCGTTTATGAAGTTTGAAATGATTGTATGCAAGTTATAATGTCTGAACTGCTGTGATATGTTATGTGTTATTGTTTTATTGCTGACAATCATGGCGGTCACAGAATGCAGGGTTCAGTGGAAACCAATCGAAGTCCATCAGTAGTAAAGTTTTTCCAACTTTGTTTTGAGAATACAAAATTCGCACTACGGTTGCTTTATTCCCACTCTGAACATTTCTGCATAGATGAGTTTTCTTCTTGTGTTCTTTAAACAATAAGAAGAAATGTTAGCAGTGGAAAACTTGATCAACACGCTGTGGACATTTTGAAATGAACTTTAAATGTCTCGTACCACGTCTCAGTCCAAAGCAGCAATACTTTGAACCTTTGCATTTTGTTCTGAGGAGGCGTGAGCTGATCAGCTGTGGCGGATTTCATTTCCACAAGCTCGGTTTTTACGCCCTGTGCTTCAAACGCACACAACGAACCGCACGGGTTGTGTCACAGGGGAAGGAACACCGCAGTCGAAACCCAACTTCTGACGCAGAGGAAACGAAGCCGCATGTAATGAACGCGGCAGCAAGAAGCACGGCGATTAGTTTGCGAAGGGGTTTTATGAGAGCCTCGATTTGTGTGAGGTGTTGGACTTAAGATTTAAAAATATTTTCCCAAAGTCAAATTCGCAAGCTCAGGTAATACCAGCCTTTGCGTAGCTGTCATGTTCAAAGTCGCTCTTAATCTTCTCTGCGCAGGTTTCCTAAGCTTTTCTGGCGCAGCGTCGTATGAACTGACATGTCTGGTTCTAGGAGGGTTTGGACCTTCCTTCTCATGACTTATCATTATTGTCTGCATCAATAACTGCGCTGGTACAACTTCAGAAAAACAAACAAACAAACAAAAAATGCACCTTCAGATGTTGAGCGTCCCGTAGAGACCAGCTTTGCCCCGGACTTTGAAACGATTCCCGTTGTGACTCAGCGGAGCAGCACCCCCCTCTGGCAGGCCGTGCCAATTGCCCCAGCATGAGAGAAGAGCAGGCGAGGGAGAATACAGCAAGTTGCTATTTGTCCTCGTCTTACTTCACAGGCGAGGCATGTTGATTGGTTTCAGATGATTCTGCTACACACTGATAGTAGAGGAAGCCCTGTAAGAGCTTGGAGAAGTACAGGATGTCCGCGCATCCTAATAAATAAATAAATAAATAAAAAGTCTGAAATTTCTGCTTCTAACGTTGAGGCTTTAAAATGCCTTAAATTCATTCAAAAGAATCTGAGTTGGCCTTAAATATTGTCTCCTTCCTAAAATGAGTCTATTTTTCTTTTCTTTTCTTTTTGCCAAGAGTTTTTGGGTGGGGCTGCAGGGGGTGGGAGGACTTTAGGCAAGATTATATTTCATTTATTTTTTCTCCAAATCACTTTTGGCAAAAAAACAAAACAAAAACAAAAAAAGACTAACTTTTCTGATAGGTAAGTAGCTGCTAATAGACCTTAGCTAGCTTTGTTTTTTTTTCTTTTTACTAATGTCGGTAAGTAAAAGTTTGGCTAAATGTCTTGCAAAAGCAGTTTGCTGATCACATGGTTTGTGATGCAAAAAAAAAAAAAAAAAAGTGCTTCCACTGCAGTTTAACGAGTAATACTAACTTTGGTGCAGTCAAAAAGAAAAAAAAAACCTCATCTTTCTTTCTCTAGAAGAGAAGACTCAGTTTATGCACACAATTTGGATTCTCCAGTCCACTTGGCGTTCACACACAGCTGCACCAGAGTAGTTCCCTTCAATCAAACCAAGGCCTAGGTTTGCAGGCGGACCAGAGTTTGCTATTTTGGACTGGCTCAAAGTTTGATTAAGAGTTCACACCTCCCCACAAACAAACCGGACTTTCTAGACAAAGTGGAATTCGACTAAAGTGGATTAAACAGGGCTGGTGTGAATGCGCCCTTAAGGGAATCTGTGATTAAAACTTTTTATTTAGACTTGGTCAAAATATTGAAGTGAAATGTGGTGTTCTTACTTTTTACCTGGCTGTGAATGTTTAGTGATATTGTGCCTGGCCACATATTAGTGATGTGCTTTTTTTTTAATTTTTTTGGTCCATTTTCCGTACGAGTCCAATCAGAACATTAAACAATAGACCAAATTCCTCACCAGTGGTTGGAGATTAGATCATTTTTGGGGGAGAATGGTATGTTTATTCTGTTTCAGTGTAGAACCAGCTGTTTGCCACATTAGTCTCGAGTACATTTATAGTCTTCATGCTATGATTTATGAGTTAAAAGTCGGTCGTATTTAATAAATCACATGAGCTCAGGGGATGAGGATATTTTTTTGGACTCTGGTGAAACATCAACAACCTCAGACAAAAACAACCCTGAATTTTTCATAAATCTTGATCGCACAAAAGGAGTCTGATCGCTTCCCGTCTTCTCTGACATTGTGCACCACAGAGAGATTGGCTCCGACAAATTTATGCACGCATACCGCACCGTCCGGAACGTTCCCCCTCCTCCGCCGATCACCTGCCGGGACATTGGCTTGAAAATGTCACAGCTCGAGATGGCATTCAGAGCATTTTCATAACGACAGAAAATGTGATGCTTTCCTTGCCTCAGAGCTTGGTGCGAGGACGTGTCCAGACACGTCTTCCATCTCCTTCTGTCCACACTCCTGATTTTTGTTTTTTTTAGAATCTACAAGGTGTGTGTCTGCATCCCTCATCCAGATGTCTCACTGTATTCGTTTATGCACTTAAACTTTTTAAGCTAAGCTTGCACACACTAGCGACTGTTTGTGAACTAAAGGATCTTTAAAGAGACGTTTACGGTGGAGCTCCGGTATTCACACAGGTTAACGACCACAACCACAACAATCCACAACATCCAGAGCCTCACCCTTCTAATAAAAAGTATATCTGCATGTTTCAATAGTTCAAACACAAAATACACCTTAATATGCATTAATACGCATCCGTCTTGGCGCTAATGCAGAAGCTAACGTCCAAGAAAAACACCAAATTATGAAGTCGTTTTTAATTTCTTTTAATCTAAGACCTGAAATGAATTTGAAATAAAACGTCATCTTAATATGAGAATGACTCATTTATAAATTCAGGCAAGTCTTACTGTGCAGTAAGCAATTAATAAATTATTGGCATGATAAATCAAAATGAACTTGATTATTTCCATTCTGTTGATGATCATTTTTGGATTTTTGCCTGACAGAAAATTCCCACCAGAAGAAGAAAAACCATATATTTTATCATATTAAATAGTCCTGCTCAGGCAAAATTTAAGACTTGTAATTCAAGGCCAATTTACTTACTTTTTAAATTTAAAACATTTTAAGGTTTTCATTTTAGATGCACAAATTTAAAACTTTTTCATCGCAATAATAACTGGGACAATTCATCGTCCCACAAAATTTAACGTGTCAGGCCTAAATCCAGATAATTTTTTTCAATCCAATCTTTGCTGTTATTAACAGCAGGAATTAGTAACTTTAGGAAAGTTTTTGGGTTAAAAACCTAATTAGGTCAAGCCCATGACCCGATCCTGGGATTTTTTTTTAATTCAGATTAACTGTAAGGACTGATTTCTGTTACTTGGCGTCTGGAGTCTGGAGGGCCACACAAACAGTTATGCCGGCCTGGATCTGGACCGCGGTCAGGCATTAGACCGACTGACCAGTCCACCAGGTCAGGTCTGCACATTAATCATCGTCCCCCCACTCTCACCAAATCAGAAACTTTCTTATTTCAGACAAAAAAAATTGGTAACTGCCAAGATCAGAAGTGGTAGGCCAGGTTTTTCGAAGATCAGTGACGGGCAATAGGCCAGAAAACTGCAATCGGTGCATATTTGGGTGCCTGCACTAATTGGTCCAGTCAAAGTCTGGACATGAATCACACTGAGAAAATGTGGAAAGGGTTGAAATTAGTCTTCTAAAAATGCCTTCTATTCAATTGAGCTGAGATTTAACTGATGCCAATTTAACATTGGCATGTTTTTTCCCTCTCCTCTTCATATTTGTGCAACATACTGTCTCTTGATGCATCACATAAAAACCCAACAAAATGAATTGAATTTGGGGGATTTCGGCAGAACAAATATAAAAAACAAAGTTTACAGTGGTCTGAATATTTCTGAAAGGCTTCAGTTCTCGAGGTTCAACTAATAGGCGCACTGCTCACTAAAAATCAAAGCCAAACTTTGCGCGCTCTTTACGCACGGTGCGTCCTCATTCCCAACGTATCCAAACAACATCCGGTGTAAAACACACACACAGACAGAAACATACTCACCTGTAGCACTTCTTGTCTCTAGGAGCCTTTTCACCTGAGCGTCCCCATCACCAGCGTCTCGGAGTTGAACTCGTACTGGTTGCTGGAGGACGCCGACTTGCCCCAGGAGTGCAGGCTGGGCGGCCGCTGCTTGAACGACGACGTGTACTTGTAGAAGCTCCGGTGCCTGTTCTTCAGGTACTCCCGGTAGTTCTTGGTGAGCAGCGTGTAGAGGAACGGGTTGATGCAGCTGTTGGAGTACGTCAGGCTCGCCACCAGGTAGTTGATGCACGTGTGCGTCTGCGAGGCCAGGCTCAGCGGCTCGGCGTGGTACAGCGGCAGCAGCTGCCAGATCCAGAAGGGCAGGAAACAGGCCCAGAACACCAGCACGATGGTGAAGATCATGATGAGCACCTTCTGCTTCGGGGTGCGCCTGCCGCCGCCGCCGATGGCCGCGTTGCGCTGCGACTCCAGGTAGGTGCGCGCCAGGCGCACGTACAGGTAGCCGATGACGAGGCCCGGCGCCATGATGCTGGTGCCGAACAGCACCGTCACGTACACCTTGTAGGCCAGGGGAGCCCACGTGGGCGCGCACATCCGCTTCACGCCGCCGTCCGACGTCGCCTTGGTCGTCTGCGCCACCATGACCATCATGGGCACGGTGAGCACGAGCGACAGCAGCCACACGCCCCACGCGAGAGCCTTGCGGTAGCTCTTGGAGCGCCGCACCGTGTCCAGCGGCTGCGTGACGGCCAGGTACCGCTCCGTGCACATGACGGTGAGCGTGAAGATGCTCGCGTGCATGGTGAGGAGGTCCAGGCTGAGGAGGATGCGGCAGCCCACGTCGCCGAAGTACCAGTCCTTCAGGAAGTAGGTGGACACCACGAAGGGGATGGTGGACAGGTACAGCAGGTCCGCGAGCGCCAGGTTGATGATGGAGATGTACATGGAGGTGGCGAAGCGGATGGAGTGGCACATCACCACGAGCGTGTACACGTTCCCGGACACGCCGACGACGTAGACCACGGACAGCAGGGTCCCGAAGGTGGAGGTGATGACGAGCTCGTGGTCCGCGGCTCCGGCCCCGGCGAGCCGCGGAGTCAGAGACCTGTTGTTCATCGCGCCCCGCGACCGCTTCCGCTGCCGGTTCCGCTCCTCGAGCTCGCGAAGGAGTTTGGAGAGAGAGAGAGAGAGAGAGAAGAGAGAGAGAGAGAGAGAGAGAGAGAGAGAGAGAGAGAGAGAGAGAGAGAGAGAGAGAGCACCTTGGCTCTGCTGGTGGTTCTGCTCGTCCTGCTCTGAGCTCACAGCGGCTCCCCGCTCCTGACGTCACTCCCCTTTATGTTAGACTGATGATCTATAGGCTGATCTATCAGCCTATAGATCGTTTCCTGCTTTATTCTCTTTGCGGAAAGGTCGCTGAGACTGGCATAAAGTTCGTTTTTAGCGGAGAGAGCGCAGCATGGACCTGGACATCTGAACATGGTCAGAACAGAAAGCAAAATACAGATGTACCATTCAATAAATTAGAATATTGTGGATTCATTTCAGGAATATTACTACTAAGTGAAACACTTTATAAAGCTTAATTGTACACAGGCTGGTGTTTTCCATCCTTCATTTAAAGTTGCAGTATGTAACTTTATATATATATATTATTTATACCACATGGTGACAATTTCAACAAATAACAGTGATAAAAGATACATACTGTGGCTTTAAAGGAAAGGCACTGAAAGTTTTGACACCAAATCAATAAAATTATGGACAACCACAACTTTGATTTGTTGACTCAGCGCAATTAGGAGGAGAACAGCTCCATGCCAGATGAGTAATAAACATATTGAAACTATCAAAGACTTTGAAATCTTGTGATGTGACCTTGAGTTGATTGATTGGATGCCCTTGACTTTTCCACTAATTTATTTTCCTGACAGCCTCCTGTACCTGTGCCCTGGCAGTTGTTATAAAAATATGACTCAAAAACCATTTGACTTTATAATTAAATGCCTTGAAATTGGTCCGCTGTCTCTTTAAGAAACTCCTGTTCTGTCTGAAACTCCACCTACAGGAAGTCATCGCAACGTGGCTCCTCTATTAACCCTTAAACAACGTTTCTAATCAGCATTTCACTGAGAAGTCGCTCCTATATTGAACTCAGCAGTCCGGCTAGTCTGAAGGAGCTGACAGAAGCTCTGAAACGTGGAAACTGCAGCTCAGAGGAGGAGACGGGTCTCAGAGGCGGCGCTAAGTTCAACCAGGCTTTTAGCACACTTGAATGGTTGCCGTTAGAGGGAAGAATAGGAAAAATAACAATGTTGCAATCGTAACTGTGCCGTTTTGTGCACATCCGAACCAAATTCCAACATCCATCTGATGAAATTTACTCCAGCCTTCATCAGTAAAAGATGAATGTCCATCCACCTAAACAAGACATCTATTCCTGGCTACGTCCCACCGTCGCCCGCTTGTTTCTCTGCGGCTCGCTGCCGATTGGTGTTTGCTGACCCTCCTGCCTCGCAGGACTCCTTTATGTTCTCTGCATCAGAAGCCAGAGTCTATTTTCAACCACAAGCCCTCGCAAGTTGCCCTGCTTGTTTAGTCATCAAGAGCCACTTTTACTGTACCACGAAAACAAATCGTATTCCCCCGCCGTCTGGCAGAATCTCCATAACCAATAAGGGAATTTGACGCCGTTATTTCAATCTGCCGGGAAAGAAGAAAAAAAGCCTCACCGAGCGTCTGATCATGCATTACTTACACTGTTTTCTGCAACACCTGTCACAGATGCACATTCGCCGTTTGATGCATTATTTACACAGTGTTTTATATTCTGAGAGAAACAGCAGAGAGGCGTCTCGTTTGTTCATCGACAACATTGACAGGATTTCAGTGTATTTATGGATAACACAGCCGTAGAATTGACGCACCTACGTTTTAATTTCAAATGCATTTTCTACAGCACTCAAGAGAAACCCAACGTGTGCGTACCGTTGTGTTTGTTCCCAGTCTCCGATTTCAGTTTCCATAGTGATCGCAGCAGGATGTATGCAAACAGCTTACAGTGGCAAAAACAGGAAAGGCCGTGGAGGAACGCAGCTTCAATTTGATGTTCAGACATACATCAGTGCTTGGATCAGGACAATTACTTTGAAGCATCTTCTGAAACAAACAACCCCATGCTTCCTGCACAGCTGGTGAGCTGAGACTGAGCAGAGACGGGATGCAGCGTCCCAGCCAGAAACGACAAAAAAACTTCCGAGCAGATGGTGGACGAGGACTTTATCGGCAGCAGAGTTACACAGGATTATGCGTTTTTCCACATATTGTCATTTTATGGCAGAGAGTCAAGTAACTGTTACTTTAAGTTATTATAAAAAATGATGCATCAAAAATGACTTGGGAAATTTGACTTTGAAATTGGACCTCTGTCTCTAAGAAACTCCTGCTCTTTCTGAAACGCTGCCTTCAGGAAGTCATCACAACATGGGTCCTCTATTAACCCTTTGGCAACGTTCGAACCAGCGTTTCACAGAGAAGCTGCTCCTGTAATGAGCTCAGCAGATGTGCAGTTCCACCAGGTGTTTGCTAATTGCTGCTGGCTAGTCTGAAGGAGCTGAGTGGTTTCCACAGATTAGGGGATTTCTCGAATGTGCATGAAAAAAAAAATAAGCCAACACTTCAGGTATGTTTTTGATGGGGGAATAATAGTGCAACATAATGTGAAGCTCAAAAAAGTATTTTTTTTATAAGGTACTGCCCCTTTAGAGAGCAGACAAAGAATTTTTTTTAGCTTAATATCATATTGTAAGTTATTCCCTAGTCAAGGGTTTGATTCTTTTAATGTGTAATGATTCAAATTGGTAAATTGACCCAGCTTGTTTTTATATTTTATTAAATGATATGCTACAAATTACTTATACCCTCTTAGTAATAATCAGCAAAATTATCACTCCCAGTCAGAAGTAAAGTTGCTCAAAAAGAAAATGGAGAACGGTGAAGCTAAACAAACCGGGTCGTGAATTCTGACCCAGTGTCTGGTTTGAAGTACGACTCAACAGCTTTTAGAGTGCAGGTCGAAAAAAAAAAAAGAAGCACACTTTTTTCAATTCAAGACCTGAAGCATTCTGACGAGGTTTTCTGAAGCTGGATCACTCGCGCTGCTCTCATTCTCCAGGGCGAAAGTGTAAAAACACAACACAGCCTGTCGAGGTGTCGCAACAGAATGAAGTCATGCACGGTTCACGGCGCGTGATGTAAAACGAGCTGAACACAAACTGCAGCCTGCCGATATTTATGGAACAATAACGGAGCCAAAAGGCAGCATGAAAAAAATCAACTGAATTGCTCAGTTTCTCATATCAATGAAGAAATTTTGTACTACAGTTTTTTTTTTTTTTTAAAGAACAAAATTGCTTCACCTTCAGGTTTGTAGAAAGATGTTTGAGTAGCTCTCTTAAAAGCCATTTCAATTGGCTTTCTGCCTGGAGCAGCACAAAACCTCGAGTTGCTTCTTTTTCATTCAGATCTGAGAGTGAAATAAAGAATCCTTCAGCTGAAAACATTCTGCTGTGGGCGCTTTTGAGACCTTCTCCAATTGTCGATTTCTATCGACGAGATGCATGTGGCACAGACGTGTCTGGCTATGCGTGAAAAAATATTTCAAAAACAAGACAAGAATTGAAGGTAGGAAGACGAGTCAGGAGATCAGCGAAGCGATCGACAGAATTCCAGCAAAGAGAAAAATGATTTCTGTATGATTGGTGTCTCAGTTTCTGCCCACGTTGGGCTCCACCAATAGGAAACCAATTTGACTTCTTCTGGTCTGATCGGTGATCATAACAGGTCGTTCTTCGTAAGTGTTGATGCGACCAAATTGGAAAAATTACAAAAACCAATGGAATGAGGGTGTGAAATGTAGTAGTTTGATTCAAAATACATTTGATTAGTTTCTCAATAATGCATGAAGATACTAAACTACAAGGAAACCCGAATGGATAAAAAACAGTCAATAAATGATGAGCGTTTTGAAGAGTTTGCATTTCAGTGGATTATTTTGGACCAATAATGAGATCTTGAGATGTTTTTAGTACTGAGGAAAAAACTGCTGGGTTATTTTCACAACCCAATTTCTGGGTAGAAACTGTTGGGTCATAGGTTGGGTTAGTTTGACCAAATATTGGGTCAAAATCAATTACTCAAGAGTTGGGTCAGAAATTCACCAGAACTCTACAGCTTGAATGCTTCTGTGGGGTCGGGGCGCTGGGTAGATTTACCCAGTGGTTGGGTCACGGTCAGTAAATTAATCCCTTCTTTACCTGATTACAGAGAACTCTGGAATGAAGCATCAAATACACAACAGGAGACATTTTCAAAGTCAGGACCGCACAAGAAGAGGGAAAAAAAAAAAAAAACGATGCTGTCCTTTTACTTTCATCACACAAAACATCACTTGTGCAATCAATAATGCATTAGTTAGATATCCACTTCAGGTGCGGTGCATTATAATAGAAAATAACGGGGGTAGCTTTTGTTTGCTAGTGTTTGCTGTGAAAGTAAGAAAAGAAGCCTCGTTTTGCCTTGAACTTGGTGAAGAGTGAAATGAAATCTGTTGGTTATGTGTTTGTGTAGGATCCTCTTCGCCGCCTGGAATTTATTCTCATCTACATTTGGTAATATTGCTTGTTTCCAGTTTTTTGATTATGGCAATACGTGAAGTCCACAGTCGCTCACTCTCAACGCAAAAGAGTAACGTCAGGACATGTTGGATTTAATAAAATTGGGTTCAGCATTTCTGTGACCTGGCTTTAAGAGCTGGAACAGAAAGGGAGTCACAACATGTATAAGACTTTGTGTAAAAACTGCAAAAACTCTGTGAGGCAACATCGTGTCAGTGTGCGGCAAAATTTTCGAGGAACCTTTGTGATACTTCTTTGACTTTCTGTCATTAAGATCTATGGCTGCACCCCAGTACTAGCAAGATGAACCAAATAAAGTAACCTGTAAATTCTTAATACATTTGTTTAAATAACAACAAAAACATGCTCTGGATGTGCTGATGAACTTCCCTTCAACTCAACATCTCATCATCATGAAGTGGGGAAAAATTGCAGAGCTGTGACACAAAGAACTTCTGATTAGTTGCCTAAAACTCAGTGTAG